GGTTGAAACAAGGGTAAAGTATTTTTTTCACAGTGTTCTAACAGTCTTGATTTATTAATGATTGAAACAAGGGTAAAGTTGTTTCTTTCACAGTATTCTAACAGTCTTGATTTATTAAAGCTATCAAAGCAATATAAACAGCCGGAGCTGTCACCCTTGGCAACGTTCCAAGTTCTGTATTCAACACAACTGTTATATCCAACGAAGGTGTGAAAAATGAAGTGATATTGTTTCTAAATCAAGAAACTAACAAAATATGTTTATATCGAGAATCTCTTAGAAGGAAATATTGCTTTCCATACTTTCGGTTCTGCTTAAGCACACGAATAAAACGCAGGTAAACAGCGACATTTCCATTCAAATATTAGCAACGAATCGCAGTTCGTATGAGAACAACTTACTGCTTTCAATAATGGAGCGTAAACTAAAGGAAATAGGGTAAAAAGACGAGGAAGTGGCAAAAGGTAAAACACAATAGAAATAAGCGTTAAAAAAAAAGAGTTTTTTTTTTTCGTTTGTACAGGTCGTGAGTTCAGTAAACATGCCAGTATTATCGCTAAGTTCTGTACTTCCATCGTTACAAAATGAATCATTTCTCCTCTTCTCCTTCAGAATATTATTAAATCCATCTTTCAACGATCGCCAACGATCGTGGTTAAACGTGCGCAGATAGATATATCCGTTATGGGTCTTCAAATCTAGCTGTCATTTTACTTACTCTGTACTTTTAATATCTTCTTCACGAACATAAATCTTTTTATCTTGAGTCTGTTTTTTGTAAGGCTGCTAAAAATTCCTTATTCGAGTTCACTGTTAGGAATTAGGCCTATAGAAATCTCATTGTTCACTGTTAGGAATTAGGCCTATAGGAGTATCATAGTTCACTGTTAGGAATTAGGCCTATAGAAATCTCATTGTTCACTGTTAGGAATTAGGCCTATAGAAATCTCATTGTTCACTGTTAGGAATTAATCCTATAGGAGTATCATAGTTCACTGTTTGTAATTAATTCTTTAGAAGTCTCATATTTCACTGTCAGGAATTAGGCTTATACAAGTCTCGTAGCTTTCTGTTAGGAATTAGGCCTATACATATCTCATTGTTCACTGTTAGGAATTAGGCCTATAGAAATCTCATTGTTTACTGTTACGAATTAATCCTTTAGAAGTATCGTAGCTTTCTGTTAGGAATTAGGCCTATAGAAATCTGAAACTGAAACAACATGAGCTTATAAGAGACTTGAAGTTAACTGTAACAACATTAGTTATAAGAGACAAGTTAATTGTAACAACATGAGCTATAAGGGACATGATTTTAATTGTAACAACATGAGCTATAAGGGACTTGAAGTTAACTGTAACAACATGAGCTATAAGGGACTTGAAGTTAACTGTAACAACATGTGTTATAAGTGACAAGTTAACTGTAACAACATGTGTTATAAGTGACAAGTTAACTGTAACAACATGTGTTATAAGTGACAAGTTAATTGTAACAACATTAGTTATAAGAGACAAGTTAATTGTAACAACATGAGTTATAAGGGACTTGAAGTTAACTGTAACAACATGAGCTATAAGGGACTTGAAGTTAACTGTAACAACATGAGCTATAAGGGACTTGAAGTTAATTGTAACAACATGAGCTATAAGGGACTTGAAGTTAACTGTAACAACATGTGTTATAAGTGACAAGTTAATTGTAACAACATTAGTTATAAGAGATAAGTTAACTGTAACAACATGAGCTATAAGGGACTTGAAATTAACTGTAACAACATGAATTATAAGTGACAAGTTAACTGTAACAACATGAGTTATGAGGGACTTGAAGTTAACTGTAATTTAAATTTCCACATGAACAGCTAAATAGTTCAATTTCAGTTGGTTAAAAATAACTTCGCATGCTTTACAACAGCTTGGTGTTTTACGCACGTCCTGATGTTATTGAGGTTAAATCTATAAAACACAATTACCACTGACGTCATAACTCCAGTAATCTAATAAGTTACGAAAGAAAAAAAAAATAGAAGCAAGGATTAACATTAGAAAAGTTCTAACATCTAAGTAAGGGTTAACATTGGAAAAGTTATAATAGCTAAGTACGGGTTAACATTGGAAAAGTTCTAATAGCTAAGTACGGGTTAACATTGGAAAAGTTCTAATAACTAAGTAAGGTTTAACATTGGAAAAGTTCTAACATCTAAGTGAGGGTTAACATTGGAAAAGTTCTAACATATAAGTAAGGGTTAACATTGGAAAAGTTCTAACATCTAAGTAAGGGTTAACATTGGAAAAGTTTTAATAGCTAAGTAAGGGTTAACATTGGAAAAGTTCTAATATCTAAAACAAGGGTTAACATTGGAAAAGTTCTAATATCTAAAACAAGGGTTAACATTCTAAAAGTTCTAGTATCTAAGACAATGCCCTACGTTGCTTATTAAGATTTGCAATTTGCTTCACAAATTTAATAAGTGTATTATTTCGACCCCCTGGGAAAGCTATTATAAATATATTTAATTATCTTCGACTGATAGATTAATGCTTTCTAATCATAACAAATTTCTGTTTTATAACACTGCCTACTCCTAGTTAACAGGTATGTTAGATTTGTTATATAATTTAGTAGTGATTTATATTCTTACTTTACTTTGGTCACAAGTTATTGATAATTAACTGGGAAATTAGATTGATAATTCTATTAATCTTATATAACATAAAAAGTTAAATTAAAACAGCTGGGTAAGAGATTTGATTTGGAGAGGAAGTCCATCTTTGAAAGAACAGATACAACTTTTGAGTGGATTATTTTTATTTTTGAATTTTATTAGAAAGTATCGACCACTCGTGTGGTCATCATTAGGTAACTGTCGATAATGATGACCACTCGTGTGGGCATCATAAGGTAACTGTCGATAGTGATGGCCACACGCGTGGTCATCATTAGGTAACTGTCGATAATGATGGCCACACGTGTGGTCATCATAAGGTAACTGTCGATAATGATGGCCACTCGTGTGGTCATCATAAGGTAACTGTCGATAGTGATGGCCACACGCGTGGTCATCATTAGGTAACTGTCGATAATGATGGCCACACGTGTGGTCATCATAAGGTAACTGTCGATAATGATGGTGTGGTCATCATAAGGTAACTGTCGATAATGATGGTGTGGTCATCATAAGGTAACTGTCGATAATGATGGCCACTCGTGTGGTCACCATAAGGTAACTGTCGATAATGATGGCCACACGCTGCATCTCTGTTCTTTCAAAGATTTGATTTTCGTGACACTTTGAAGTTCCTTTTAGTTTGGCGAATATAATTACTAACACAATCACATTTTAATTTATAAATACCAGTTTTATACTCCAACATTTACTTAATCTTGTTCATAGGTTCTTCTGTTAATCTTAGAATATAAGGTAAAGTTAAAATACAGTTTTTGGTTTTTCTGGCGGGCTTGATGGTTAGGAATTCACTCTGAATCCTTGTCTAGGCTCCAATACAGAGTTCTAGAAAACTCAGTTCACGTGACGACCGAAATTCACTTTAACAGAAAATTGAAACTTTACTACATAGCAAAGTTATAACCTAAAAAACAAGCTATATGAAAGTTCAGAAGTTCTAGATTAAAAACCGTCAAACAAAAATGTAGACTGTTTGTCATTCTGACATCATTCACAATCAGGGATGTCTCAATGGCGCCAAGAACGAAACCAAAACCAAATAAAACAGGAAGTAAAATATAAAATGTTCGCCGACATTCACCCAGACAAAACACGACTAAAGTGATGAAATACTCAAGAACCAGACAGATTACACAACACTAATCGTTATAAGACGGGAGGAAGTGTGAATCATTGTTAATTAGACAGATTACATAACACTAATCGTTATAAGATGGGAGGAAGTGTGAATTATTGTTAATTAGACAGATTACACAACACTAATCGTTATAAGATGGGAGGAAGTGTGAATCATTGTTAATTAGACAGATTACACAACACTAATCGTTTATAGATGGGAGGAAGTGTGAATTGTTTTTAACTAGACCGATTACACAACACTAATCGTTATAAGATGGGAGGAAGTGTGAATTATTGTTAACTAGTCAGATTACACAACACTAATCGTTATAAGATGGGAGGAAGTGTGAATTATTGTTAACTAGTCAGATTACACAACACTAATCGTTATAAGATGGAGTAAAGAAGAAATGGGAAATATCTTTGTATATGTAGTTCATTCACAAAGAGTTTCAACTAGTCTTCCAAACTCACACACCTGTTGTTTTCAACTTAAATTTGTTTTAAATATTTCGGAGATTATGGGCTGTTTCCACGGGAACAACAGTTTTGTTACCTTTGGTGAAGATGGAGCCAGCATTTCATTTGTATAGGAAATAACTTAGGCTAACTATCACAATGTGTGAGACGTAAGATATCCCACTGTCAGCTCTGGATCCCCAAAAGTTTGGTGTTAAACTATGATCCCCTTTTAGGTAACATAACTGCAACCATCAGAAGATTGTATCAAATATTTGAAAAGTATTGTGTTAATTCCTCTCCCGGGTTTTAGTTAATTTGTAACTGTAATACTTCCTCAGCTTCTCCCGGGTTTTAGTTAATTTGCAACTGTAAAACCTCTTCAGCTTCTCCCGGGTTTTTATTAATTTGTAACTGTATAACCTCCTCAGCTTCTCCCGGGTTTTAGTTCATTTGTAACTGTATAACCTCCTCAGCTTCTCCCGAGTTTTAGTTCATTTGTAACTGTATAACCTCCTCAGCTTCTCCCGGATTTAGTTCATTTGTAACTGTAATACCTCCTCAGCTTCTCCCGGGTTTTATTAATTTGTAACTGTAATACCTCCTTAGCTTCTCCCGGGTTTTAGTTCATTTGTAACTGTAATACCTCCTTAGCTTCTCCCGGGTTTTAGTTCATTTGTAACTGTAATACCTCCTTAGCTTCTCCCTTCTCTTCTGTGCATCTACTTTAGAGAATCGGGTCTATACAATGAAGGGGGCATTCATTTAGCGCAGACAAAGAAATTCTGAAATAAAACTAATTACTCCTCTG